GCCAGAAGAGGAGAGGCATTTATAGCCTTTGTGCTGAGGTGAGTAACCTATAAAGATACACTCTTCTGAATGAAAGGCCATTTTATGTTTGTTGTAGGGTCTAATGAATGGATAGCAAGAACAACCAAATACTTTTAGTAGAGAGTAATCTGGACTGGTTCCATGGAGTTGAAAATATGGACTTGAGTTGGCAATAGAAGTTGATGGAGTTCTATTGATAAGATAAAGTGAGGTGGAGAAGGCAGCATCCCAGAATTTTAAAGGTAATGAGGAGTGAGCAAGAATGGAAAGGCCTTTCTCAACTATAGTTCTGTGTTTTCTTTCCACAACACCATTCTGGTGATGTGTATGTGGACAAATAAGCCTATGTGTTATTCCATTCTCAGCAAGAAAGGTGGTGAAGGATCTGAACTCACCTCCCCAGTCAGACTGGACAGATTTGATGGATTTTGAAAATTGAGTTTGAACATATTTATGGAAGTTCTGAAAAGCTATTATGGCATCAGATTTCTTCTTTAGAAAATATATCCAAGTGTATCGGGTACAGGCATCAATGAAGGAGATGTAATATGAATATCCATCAAATGAATACATGGGGGCTGGGCCCCATAAGTCTGTAAAGATAAGATCAAATGGGGATTTATATACAGTATGAGATGAGTGTGAGGGTAGTCTGTGAGCCTTACCAAGACAACAAGAAGAATAGAATGAAACATCATTTTTATTTATGCCAGACACATTACAAGTGTTGAGTACAGATCTCAGTGCTTCAAAATGTGGATGGCCTAATCTTAGGTGCCAAATATTACAAGAAATTGAGGCATTATTGCAAGAGCTAGATGTATTATAAGTGGAAACAAAGGAAAGGGGGTACAAAGGGGTGTTTGTTGTGGACACTATTGAGGTAGACAGACTTGCATCTTTGAATTGATGTAAACCAAGAGGAGGTATGGACTGGAACTTGTATAAACCATCAGCACCAAGTACTCCATGTAGAAGAACCTGTTTAGAAGCTTGGGATTTGACATAACAATCATAAGGATGGAATTCAAAGAAAACATTGTTGTCTTTAGCAAATTTACTAACACTCATGAGATTTTTGGTTATAGAAGGGACATGAAGCATATTAGTTAACATAAGAGACTGAGACTTAGAATAGGGAGATAGAAAAGAAGAAAAACCAATAGATTTGATATCCACACCTTGACCATTACCCATAAAGAGTTTGTCAGTTGAAACAAGAGGCTCACTGTGCTGAAAATTGAGTGGATCAGCAGTCACATGATGAGTAGCACCTGAATCAGGGAACCATTGTTGAGAAGATGGAGGTGGTCCAAGAACAGAGTTTGTACTAGCAAATGCTGCAGATGGTAGAGGTCTGGCTGAGTGCTGATCCCAATTGAAAGTCTCTTGAGCTGTAGATTGATGGTTAGGAAGATGAGCAGGAGCTGAAGAGCTGAAGTGTTGAGGTATATTCTGTCTTGGAGTATAGTAGGGTGAATGATTGAAGTGAGATGGAGTGTATGAATTAGGTGATTGTGAGTTCCATTGACTTGAAGGTCCATAGTTAGAATTGGTGTAATTTGGATTAGGGTTTGGATAGGTAAAATTAGGATTGTAGCGATGATAACAAATTAGGGCATGATGTCCAGACTTTCCACTGTTAGGATAATGGGCTTACGAGAATAATAATAATTAAGTGTGATAGTGTAATGGAGGGTCCTGGGCCTGGTAGTAGTTGGCCTTGACTGGCCCATTAGAAATAGAATAAATAAGGGTGAGTGGTGAGTAGATGGGGAGGCAGAACTTGGGATCAGGACTGGGATATTGGGAGTGAGAGACCACTCGAAGAGTCTCAAACCTTTCCTTTCATGACTTTCTGTATTCCTTCACTAAATGTTCATTAATAAACTACTACTTTCTTCTTGGATTCTTCAGTTACTTATCATTGGTATCAAAGCATCCTTCCTGGAGCCTGAATCGATCGTCAGTTTCAACGACAGTTGAAGAAGAAGATGGACAATAGTGACAGTCAGTGGAAGGAGTTGCGTTATATGCTGTGCAAACTTCGTCACCGTCAGAGGCGACATAGAGACAGAGCTAGGAGTCCACCTAGACACCGTCGGCCAATCGAAAATCAGGTGTTTCCGTCCGTCATCGCCATGGATGAACTGAGCTGGAATCTTCGGATTTTCCACAAATTGCAACAATTTGTGTGCTCGAATGACGGATTCGATATGATGCTTCCAAAGAAGAAAGTTGTTTGAACCAAGTTTGATTGGGAGAGGATGCGTGAATACAGCTGGAAAAGTTGAATTCCCAGCTGCGGAAGAAGAAGATGTCGTAGAAGTTGAATTCGTCATGGTAGATCGAGCTCAAAGCTCTGATACCATATTAGAAAAGTAGCCAGAATATGAAATGAAGAAGAAGGATTTTCATTTAATCACATAATACCAGTACATCAGTATTTATAGAGAAGTAGTATAACCAACTTGTAACTGAATCTAAACAGCTTGACTAACTATAACTAGCTAACTGAATGCTAAGCTTATTACACAGTTCGTAGATATAGTATCTCTAACAATAAACAACCTGCTCTCTCTCTTAACTTCTGCACTTCATATGAAAAACTCTTCCAACAACCTCCTAATTACACTAAACTTGCTGTTTTTGGATGCCAATGTTTTCCGTGGTTACGACCCTATACCACTCATAAATTAGAACCACGCTCCAAACCATGTGTCTTCCTGGGATATTGTGACCAACAAAGTGCCTATCGTTGTCTTGATCTTACCACCAACCGTATCTTTGTCAGCAGACATGTTGTGTTTGATGAGTCAGTGTTCCCTTTTTCTACATCCTCACCACCCGTCTCAAATATCACTTCTGAAGTTGATCACTGGCTTTCGCCTTCTATGTCTTATTTTCCCATTTCAGGTACTCTGGCTGCGGGGGCGTCTCCTCCTACTCATACCTCGGCTCAACAATTGACTCTTGACACGTCACCCACTACCTCTACTCAAACTGATATCCCGCTTTCTTAAAAATGTTAAAAATGGATGAGGCCAATCCGGTAGCTACGCCGTTAGCTCCATCTGCTTCATTAACCCTGTTTGACAGTTCAGGTACATGTGATGCCACTCTCTATCGCCAGGTCCTCGGGTCACTTCAATATTTGAATCTTACCCGTCCAGATGTTGCCTTTGCTATTAACAAACTGGCTCAATTCATGCATAAACCTACGGTCAATCATTGGCAACTTCTCAAACGTCTTTTGCGCTATCTACAAGGAACTGCTTCTCATGGCCTGTTTCTCTGTCCTAGCACATCCCCCTCTCTCCGTGCCTTTGTTGATGATGACTGGGCAGGGAACCCTGATGATCGTTCTTCTACTAGCGCATATGCCATTTTTCTCGGGGAATCTCCTATATCTTGGAAATCAGTTAAGCAACGTACCATTGCTAAGTCTTCCACAGAAGCTGAATATCGAGCTCTTTCCACCGCTGCCTCTGAAATTATTTGGATTGAATCTCTGTTGCGTGAGTTGCGGCACCCGCTCCCTTCTCCTCCACTCCTCCTTTGTGATAACAAAGGTGCCACTACGTCTTCAGCAAATCCTGTCTTCCACACTCGCATAAAACATGTGGCAATTGACTTTCATTTTGTTCGGCAGTGGGTTCAACGTGGCCTTCTTCAAGTTCATCACATTCCATCCTCTGATTCAGATAGCTGATGCCCTCACCAAACCGCTCCCCCGGCAACGCTTCATTCTTCTTAGAGACAAGCTCAAGATTCTTGGCAGTGACAGAATACCTGGCTTGCGGGGGCGTATTGAAGGAAAGAAATAATTCAGTTTCAGGATTCTTTAAAACACAATATTGTAGTCAGCAGTTACATATCTTTGGCATTTACTATAGTATTATTATTTACCTTATATACATGATTAAGAGATGTATAAATAGCAGCCTTGTAAATCAGTTTTAGACACACAGAAATATATTCAAAACACTTGTTCTCTTCTCTCTATTAAAAGGGAGCATAAGATGGAGCCCAGTAATCCCAGTATAATAGATTGAACATACTTGAGCATTTCATATAATTATTCTTCTCCCTCGCCTTCTTCTCCTACATCTTTGCTTTCTTCACACTTTCTTCTCCTTTACTTCTTCTTTGATGAGGCCATAAAACCCTTTTTATTTTCCTTATCTATAGTAGTAGTAGGCTAGTAACAGGCCCGAGTTTCAAGTCTGTCATTTGTCACAAAGCAAAACTGGGAAAACAAGTTACTGAAATTTGATGAAAGCTTCGCATGAGGATCGCCAGGAGACAAGAACCAAACTGGAAATCCAACCTTAAAGAAAGAAACTACACCAGCTGCAGCGTTGCACAGCTTTGAGTTTTATATTTAACATAATGATGTGAATCGGGGTAATATTTTTTGGTTTGGTAATATGATGGAATAAAGCAAAATGACTCACTAAACTGTGTGTGCTTCTTTATTATGAAGCAGCAGGCAGTCCATGCAATTTTTGACGTGATTTTCATTATGGGTCATCCGAACCCCTTACTCCACAGTAGATGGGAGCCTTTGCGGCACTGGGGTAATGATGATGATGATGTGAATCAGGGCATGTTGTGGTTTGTTTTTTCAAAACGTAAAGATTCTTAACAAAGTGGTGCAGGCTGTCGCATGTTTGTTTATATTTCATAATGACAGCAAAAATTAGGTTTATGTAAAAGATTTTAGGATAGGCCTCTCCGTCTCTGATATATTGCACAAGTGTAGAACAATAAAACTACAAGTTGATGTGACTTTTAAATTTCAATTTTCAACTCACATCTTTATAATTCAAAGACTGTTACAATGTTTGTATGTAGAAATAATAGGTCTAACCCATAATAAGAATCTTAAAAAGAAGGAAAATTTGAAAGCATTTCAAGAACTGGGACTTCTATATTTTAATGTCTATATTTCAATGGCTTCAAGTCCATTTTTCTACCTGACAACCTCAACAAAACCTCCACAGCTCCACCAAATGCATACTTAAATCCAGTGGCAGATCGGCATTAAGACCTAGAGGTACATCCACCTCGGGTTAAAAAAATTACTTGTAAATTGTAAATACAAAAAATAACATAAGTTTATACATACAAGATGCACCCCCTCCCCAAGTTGCATTATTTTTTTTCTTAGGCATATATCTTAGACATTTAAAGATGGTAAACCAATAGAGTGTACTAGGTCCAGCTAGAAAATAAACTATGTATATGCTATCACTGAAATGATACACAATTAAAAACAATAAGGTTGGATTAAAGACATCATATTACTCATGTTATGGAATTTTGAATGTCTTAAGTTAATTAAAAAATTCAAGAGAGAGAGAAAAGAAAAAAGGAGAGTGAAGGCAACTCCAATACATATATCAAACCACACTTCCACTGTTAGTTTCTAGTTCCCAGCCCACTCCTTTCTCTATGCAATGGTTGGCTAATATTCATGTTCAATAGTTGTACTATACCAAAACACAAAAATATAATCTAACTGTTTCTTCAAATCAGCTCCACCCATAAAAAAGACAAGAAAGACTCGTCAGTGTTCACTTTTTTTTTCAATTCTTCACACCCATTCCATTTGCATTTCAGGAAAGTAAAGGACAAGAACAAAATATGGTCTGTTTCACCTCCAAACTAAGCACCTTATATCTTTAAGATTCTCTAAGAGCACTCTGATATTCACAACCCCAGAATGCCTAAATGCTTGTAATAATTCAATAATTCCCACTTAAACGAATGCAAATGAAAAATAAAGTGAAACACAGAAAGAGATTGCACCCGCAAATTCTAGGAAGATACTCTCGAACTCAGGCATCAATTTAAAAAATGGAAGTAAACGCATTATAGAGGACATAAAATGCCACATTAAGTCAGGAAGAAAAAAACCACCAAAAAAGGGGAATACCTCTTGCTCGGATAAGGGCGTGCAGTGCATGAGCTGACCAATCTGCTGGTCAAGATTTCCATGAGCTGACGGTAATGGATCCTTACTACTCATCCTCCGTTCGGGTCCTTATCCACGCCGTTTTGGTCAGAGAAAATGCAGGCAACGGAGCTATCAGATAATCAAGTGTTGTTAACGACGACGTTTTGCACTTGCCTGGTGTTTGTTGCCTGCCTGATTGAAAAAAGTCAAACCAAAAGAGGTGAAATATCGTTCCTTTTTATACGGAGTATATAATACGGAGTAATAATTATATATATATATACTTTTTTTGGAATATGTATTCTAATTCTAATTTCCGACTATTCCATTTTCAACACTTATTTTAATAGTAATAATTACAAAAATAATGCTTCTTTCTTCCCAGTAACAATAGGACAAGAGAGAGTGAAACGCAAATCAATAAAAAGTGATTTATGTTGTTGATATTGAATTGATAAAGTAAGAATAAAGTAAAAATGATTTATAGCCAAACAAATTTTACCAAGTTTGATATGAGACAATCTTAATGGGACGGACTGAAAAGGTAAACTGGGACAATCTTAGCGGCATGGAGGGAGTATGTATATATTATAACCATAATTTGTGCACCCCTCCGTCCAATAAAATTTTTCCAAAAAAATCAACTTACCATTTTTGGACAATTTTTGTGACTCACATTCATTTTACTTTTTTCTTACACAATTACAATCATACATTTACATTTTACTCTCACTTTCTTAATATGCGTGCTAAGTCAATATGGGAAGTTATTTTTGGGACGGGGGAGTAATAATTATATTATGTTCTCGTAATATTTATTGATAGTAAAATAAAGAATAAAAATGTTAGTAAAGGAGGGATAAACTAAAAATGAGAATGAATAAGTACACATATTATTTTTTTAGCTAGAATTTGAACATCTTATTCGAGTTTATACCTGTAAAAATTAATTAACGAAACTTGATCTGAGCTCAAATTGAGCTCGAGTCGAACTCAGCTCGAGTTCGAGCCTGAATTATTTAACTCATCCAAGCTCGAGATCGAGCTCGTGCTCGTGAATTCTTATCAAGCTCAAGCTCAAGAATACCCATATTCGGGCTCCGCTCATTTGAGCCCCTAAATCCGAGTAATTGAAACCGCAATTGTATTGAGTTGCAGTTTTAAAATAGGTCAATTGGTGTTTGAATTAGAACCGAAATTGAATTGGATCACTCTTTCAAAATTGCAGATTATATTTTTATCATTTTTTAAGTGATTTAAATAATCTAATTGCTTACTACTTATGCAACTTAAAATTATAATAATTAAATTATATATCAAAATAAACAGAAATTCAACCAAGTCGTTGGTTCAGGAACCCGATAGAAACCACCTATATACGATTCTAGTTGTTCGAAAATGTAAATCAAGAATTACAAAAATAAAACTTATTTTACAAAAATATGATTAAGAGTAACCATAATATAACAATTATATTTTAATAGTTACTTGTGTGAAAAAATTGACACACTTACTATTATGACTAAATTACAATTATTATACTTATTAAGTTATTATATGTCACGTTATTGTAGTAACATTTTTTATTCACATACACTCCGTATGTAATTTTGCTTTTTAAATGGTTCCGTAGAAAGCCAGCTATTTTCAAAATTTTCACAATATTATTTGAAACTACTGATATCATGTATACTCTTCTGTACATTCTATCGTAGGCATAGGCTTGATACTACGTGTATATATATAAACATTATTTACAACCCAATAATTCGGGCAAAATGGGACTTCAATTGCTAGAAAAGAATTGATAAAAAGAAAATTGCTAGAAATGAATCTAAATGAGGGTAATCGTTATCAATCTAACGTGAACAAGTCTAGGTTGCTACTAAACTATGATTATACGGTTCGAGAGTGATGTAGTAATCATGTGGGAGTCACCGATTAGTCCCATGCACTAGCCATCCCAGAACCATTCGCCGCTGTGCTGTAGGCACTAGACCCACCATAAGCAGCATAGTTACTGGCCCCGGAGTAGTAGTCAGTATTGCCTTGGATGAAAGAGGGCTCTCTTCTGAAGTCACGGCCGCCGAAGCGACTTCCCCCACGGCGATTCTTGCCGCTGTAGGAGGAGCGAGCAGCAAAGCGGGACAGCCAGGCCGGTACTTCTTGATTTGACTCTTGCATCAACTCGGCCAATGCTCTTGCCATTGAAGAGTTGTTTTCGTTGAAGAACGCTGTGGCCAACCCAGTTTTTCCTGCTCGTCCTGTTCTCCCTATGCGGTGAACATAGTCATCAATGTCGTTTGGAAGGTCAAAGTTGATGACATGTGCAACGTGGGGAATGTCCAGCCCACGTGCTGCAACATCTGTTGCAACCAGAATAGGTGTCTTGCCACTTTTGAATGATCTGAGCGCATACTCTCTTTCCTGCAAACGAAAAAGTATGAATTCTAAGGCATGCCTTTTCTTGATGTGATACTACTCAACTTATTTTGTGTAGTGATTTTAACTTCTAAGATAGTTAGTTATTTACAAACATGCCATGTCCATTTGATAGGACTACTAAATCCTCATACAAACCACATGAAGGTAGGAGATGGGCTCATTAATTAATAAACAATTAAACGCCTTAAGGTTATGCCAGATTCAAATTAGGATATATATCCATTTCTAAGTATGAGCTACAATCAATATAAATATCCATTGGAAAGGATATATTTTATTGTATAAACTACACAAGTATTAGAAAAATAGGCATCTAAGTACTTCTATATATCTATCTCTGAGAAAATATTTAGAAGCTTATTGAAACGGAGAAAGAAGATAGTTGCTAATGAATCAGTAAAGTGCTTGCTAGTTATGCATAATAAATTATTACCTGTTGTGTCCTATCACCATGAATAGAAGTGGCAGGAAAGCCATTCATGTAAAGCCAGTGTTCAAGGGAATCAGCTCCTTTCTTTGTCTCCACAAAAACGAGGGTAAGCGCTTGCTATAAAATTACAAGCACGCAAAATGAACATCAATATTTCAAAAAAATATCAAGATGAATAAACTGAAATACTAACAAATGCATCTTACCTTTCCATTTGCATTGGTTTCCGTTTGTGCATGAATGAGATCCATTAGGTGGCTTCTCTTGTCGCACTCTTGAACATATTCAACTCTCTGGACGATCAAATCTGTACTTGAGCCAACCCTTCCCACAGCCAGAAAGATATAATTTGATAGAAAGTCTGCTGCCAATCTCTACATTCAGAACAATTTGCAAAGACGCCATTAATTTACATGATATAACTTGATATCACAGAGGAAAACCAAGAAGTGCAAGTCTTATAAGACTTATAACTAATGCAATGTCTCGCAATGACAAAATTAAATCTTTAAGAGCATCCCCAAAGAGAGCTGTTTATCTATATCGCATGAGTAGATTAATAATAGGAATAACATAATTAAAAGTGTCCCACATTTTCTATTCTTGACCCATTAGGTCACAATAGAAAATCCGGAGTCATTTGGAAACAGTTTCTATGTGTTTTAGTACAGGGGTAAGGTTGCGTACATCCGACCCTCCCCCTTACCCCCACCGTAGGTGCGAGGCTTTTGCGGCACTGGGTAATGTTGTTGTTGTTGACCCATTAGGTCAGTCTGTGCCAATGTCCATTTCAAATTTATACAGCTTTTCATTTAGATAATCAAGGTCAATCTATAAGGAAACAACGAAGAACCAATGAGCATAACTCATTTTTCTTAAGGAAATTAAACCTGAATCTCTTTCGGGAAGGTAGCACTAAACAACATTGTCTGTCGTAGACCTGGTGGAGGCATGCCGGTCTGTTGAACAATTTTCCTTATCTGAGGTTCAAAACCCATGTCCAGCATTCTATCTGCTTCATCCAATGCCAAATATCTGATCATTTCCAAAGAGACTCTTGCCCTCTCCAACAAATCAACCAGCCGACCAGGGGTGGCAACAAGAATATGCACACCCCTCTCTAGTTCACGAAGCTATCATGCAAAATTAAGAAGATTGATTAACAAATCATTACAACAATGGGCACATATGGAGGATTTTGCAAGACCTTGCATACTGGTGGATTATTTACAAGCTAAAAAGAGCTACTAAAAAGCTACACCTTCAAGCATTAAGCTTGGTAATCTTAACAATTTAAAAATCAAGAGCAGAAAGTGGTCTTGATTTTACAATTTTAAAGTGGTCTGGTTATATTGTAAATTAGCATTCCCATTTTTGTACTCATACTTATGATCGGCTTGAGTAGAATAGGGAAGAATACATTGAAGAATTATGGAAGTTTTCTCTTGTTTGGTGCAGATCATAAATTTGGAAAAGACTCAAAAGAGGGTAATGGCATGCGGCCCACCTTTTTCTTTCATCTGTCACATGAGAAAACATGGAGGAAAAAGTTCAAATTTGTTTAATGTTTAGAATTTGATTCTTTATGCTTTTCTCTGCTCCCTTGTATGGGGATATTCTTGTACAAACTTGTATTTCTCTAATCTTTATTTTCTCTCTTAGACACAACAGCACTAATAATCTACTCTCTTCTAATGTATTTCTCTCCTTGCTATGTTTCCACTCTTTTTCTCGCTTCTTAGTTTCTCTTCACTAGCCAAATAGAAGCATTATAGGTGGGATTCTGGGGCAGCTCACAAGATAAAAGTCTGGAATGGCCCTACCGCTACCCAAAAGGGGGGTCTGGGCCATCTGGTATCCCAATTTTCTACATTTGAGAAATGAATTTTCCCAACACATATTAAAAGTTTCTTTTTTCAATAAATAAATTATATTTTTTACTTGCAGAATGCATATATTAGTTGAAAATCATTTTCATTACAGATTCAGACTTCTTTATTCAAAGCTTATCGTCATGCTCAATTGAAAATAATGTCAAATTCAAATGAAGGAAATGCTCATTCCATGTGAATTTTCCGATCTTTTAAGCTATGTAGAGTGCTCATACAACATCCATTCCGATGTATAGAAAAAAGTGTTCATATAACGATGTAAATAAATAATACATTTAGTTGATATGATTGAGTGTGGTTAAATAGAATTTTATTTAAAGATGACTAAAACATAGAGTGTTTCTCAAAATATGATAACCAAAGTTATCTTTCTTATTTTATGTCATTCTCTATCTAATGGTATTCTTTATTTAATTCATGATATTGTTTAGTACTCCCTACATCCTGCTGGACATTGCGAGTTATGGTTTATGACGATAAAGTTAACCCCTATATACAATATTTAAATTATTATTTTTTGAAAGACATTTAAATTATTTTTAGTATTTAAAATTTAGATATTTAGAAACTACAAAAAATGTTCTATTGAATCGCAAAATAAAAACTGAATTTCATAAAAAATTGATACCAATAAGCAAAGAAAAAAAAGTAATTAACATGATAGTAAACTAGCAAATTCTGGCAGGAATGAAAGAGTATGACTTAATGCTATTTTACATATAAAAACACGGTGGTCATATTTAAAGAAAGTAACTATGTTTTAGTAATACTTAGGAAAATAATTTCGCTTCTAAATTTTACACAGCAGCAAAACAGTTGCTTCTCAAGAGGCCAATGAGGAGAAGCTTCAACACCTTAATATGTAAATAGAACAAATGAGGTTCAAACAAATCTACAGATTACAGAAGACAGAAAAGGCCAATGCAAAAACTTCCTATTAGTTTGTGTGTGCCTGATTATACTGAAAGCCATGTAAAAAGACACTTTTTAGAAAGAATATGACCTGTTGATTCATGGGTGCACCACCATAGACGACAACCACCTTGACACCAGTTTGATATGCAAATTTTCTAGCTTCTTCATGAATCTGCACAGTTGAATGTCAAAACAACTCATGAGACCACCTAGTTCGAAAGACCAACTTACAAGATATCACAAATAACTATACATTGAAAACGCACTTGGCAGGACAGCTCCCTAGTTGGAGAAAGAATAAGAGCAAGAGGAAACGCTAGGCGTGGATACGGTGGTCTTGGAAATTGACCCTTCATAATTCCACTAATGATGGGGAAGCAGAAAGCAGCTGTTTTCCCAGAACCAGTTTGAGCACAGGCCATTAAATCCCGTCCTGAAAGTGAAATTGGTATAGCATATCGCTGCACCGGTGTGGGCTTGACGTACTTGCACCTTCGAATGTTATTGTTCAGTTCTTCCCCCAAATCAATCTCTGAGAAAGTATTCACTGGAGGTGGCACATTTTCTCCACTTGTCTCGACGGGAATGTCCTCGTAAGCATCAAAATTAATACCTGAATTGTCATGCTCATCCAACTGTTTTTCTTCTTCATCTCCAAAGGGGTTAACTTCACGTTCCCCTCCACGATTCCAACTACTTCCACCACCATAACTAGCTCGAAATTCATTTGTGCAACCATTCCAGCAATTCCCACGAGCAGATTGACCACCATAACCAATCCTGTCGTTTCCTGATGATGAAGCAGTGTCTGCATAAGAAGCTGGAGCAGGGATAAGCGGGGTTGATGAAGGAGTTCGGTTTCTAAGATGAGGTGGCACATAGGCTGCCTTAGATGGAGCCACAGTGGCTCTATCAGCCACAGAAACAGAATCAGCCCACGACATTGTAAAATCACCCAATGCTCAAAGATAAATATCCTCTTCTTTCAAAACTACCCCTCTTCTTCTATTCAACTTAAATACCAAATAGTCTAAATAACAAAAAAATCCGAACTTCTTCTCGCCCTAACACCAAAATGCCTATGCAGCTGCTACATTTTCCACAACCATCAGATAAAATCAAATCCAAATAGACACTTTTCTTTCTCTTTCACTTTTCCTTCATTTATGATCCTCTGCAGAAAACAGCCTGACATAAAACATGTGAAATTTATTAACAAAAACATTAATAAACATAAGCTAAAACCTTCTCAAAACCATGTGTCCATGTCCTAAAATCAACTGGAATCATTGTCTCTCCATATTACACAAAGAAAAGAGACAGCAGGAAACAATAAACAAGGTAAAGCAATTAAATTTCAATTTTAATAACGCATACGAGAAAGACAAACAAAAACCATCCAAGGAGAAGCATTGTACCTTGTTATACCGTAACATACATGGAATAAAATACATTCCTAGATATAATACAACATAAACTACATTTATACGCATACATATATAGGCTGATAGGCAAAGGTAGAAAGAAAGCATACTAAGAAAACGGGAGAAACCTCGAAATTGATAATTTGAGGATGAAGAGAAGAGAGAGGTACGTGAAGTGCAAGATAATATTTCGTTTCGATTTGTTGTATTGTGTTGGGTTACGTTTTCTTTCTCTCTAAAAAAGCGGCCTGCGTTTACTTTCTTCTTCTTCACTTGGACTCTCTGTCAATATATATCCTCGTCTCCGCGGATTGAACGCATGAGGAAAGGACTACTTTTTACTCCGTATTCCGTAATTATATACGGATTACCGAGTACTATTGAGTATTGACCATCCCTAACAATCAGGCGACAGCAAAACCCGATCCCAGGTCCCACCCGAAAACCCGATCGGATATATCTCAGGTATGTGTAGCGGGTCAGATGACCCGAACCCGATTAACCGGTCCGAAATTGTAAATCTTGATCTTTAAGGGTAACGGATATCGGGTAGGGTTTTAAAAATGCTACCCGACCCATCCGAAAAATCCGAACTAGCGTAGTGTATATATACTACTTTGAACTACTATGCATGTTCAAATATCTCAATTATTGTATGTCAATTACCATGTTATGCATGTTCAAATATTCCAATTATCGTATTTGTACAACTATAACTTTGAATGTTGTATTGTTATTACTTTGAATGATATTTTGACCAATTATCATTTTATTTATCACAATATCAAATATGTCAATCATCGTATATTATTATTTTACAGGCTCAAATATGTCGATTACCGTATTTATACAACTATTACTTTGAATGTTATTCTAGTATAACTTTGAATGATATTTTTACCAATTACCATTTTATTTATCACAATTTCAACAATAATAAATTAAAATCTGAATGGATCCGAAAATCGAATCAACCCGACCGCAAGCCGAACTTCTTCAACATGAAAAAACCGATAAATTTTTTGATTGGGTAGGGTTTAAAATTATCAATCCGATAACCGAACTGGCTTACAATTTTTGAACCTGACCCGCCCGAACCCGACTCGTGCTCTGCCCTAGTACCAATTATATATCGTACAACCTTATTACCCGGTCTTTTTATATGCTCTTTCTCGTAAAATTTGACCAAAATTGATTTATACTACAATAATAAAATCGAAGTTGTTTGATTAATATTTGTGCAAAAGAGAATGAAACAATTTAGTCACCTACTTCCTCCGTTCTTTTTTAATTGCAGCATTTCACTTTTCACGCTTGCCAATACACAAGTTTGATCATTAATATCTTTCATTCCTTATTAGTAAAATATTTAAAAAATCAGATTTTGAAAATTTAAAATGAGAGGAATTTAAAAATATTTTAAAAAAGTTTAATTTATAACATATTAATAAATAAAATGCAGTCAAAGTAGAATATGTGAATAGTGCAAAAAGTCCATGTATATTGCAATTAAAAGAGAACGGGGGTAGTATTTGTTAATTTAAATGTTGGAAAAATGTGTTAAAAATTGCATTAAATGGTCATTTTGGGGCAATTATTTGAGTGGGGTCCACTTCCGATTTGGGTCGGGTCAAAGTGGTTTCGGATTGTCCTTGTTAAGGGCTACAATTCGATATATGGTACGCTCAAAACGGATAACGGGTGAATGAGAAATTGATTTTCTCGAAGTTCGCTCGTTGTAATAGAAAAACTGGGAAAATGATGAGTTTCTAGTGTGTTTTATCCCACACCGAAAAACTCAAGGGATTTTCACCCCCTTTTAAAGGGAAGCCTCTTTTAAGGAGTTAAGATTCCTAAAGGGAAAGGCTCTCTCTTACGCGCAAGGGGGTGCCGATCAAATCCCGAAACGGAGAAGAAAAACCGCGACTCGTGTGCGCGGGCGACCTGCGGACACGTATGCCGTCCAAAAATCTATTTCTCAAGAGATACGGTTAATTTTTGTTTTTTCCCCAGAAGAGCTCCGGACAGAAGGCCTCGAACAGAAACCCTCCATGGGGTCTTCTGTCACGCATTTCTTCCGTTACAACTATTAATGCCCAACGTTCTTCTCTTGGTGCTGGAACTCTTGTTTGTGTGCTCAAACATTAGTTCGTAGTCATCGTATCCTGGGAAACGATTGTTGCAACGCTCCTAGCACCGTGGGAGGCAACAAATACGTTTTAAGGAAATCGTGCGTAGCACGAGCTTTGACTAATTCTGCTTCATCTCCTTTCCTGTTTTTCTTTAGTCATTTTATTTAATTAATTTATTTTAATTAATTTTCTTTATTTTCCGAAACACACCCAACAATCTTAAAACGTATTTGTTGAGTTTGTATCATACGGATACAATCTTAAAACGTATTTGCCTTGGTTGTTGTACTGCGGTAAACAATCTAAAAACGTAGTTTGTCACTTTGGTGAACGAACTTAACTTTTGTGTTTTCGGAAAAACGTTAAAGAACGAAAATGACTTCTCAAGAAAACGAGATTGGTGTTGGGCAGAATGTTCTGAACGACAATCACTCTGAAAGCGGAGCACCGGTGAACAATAGTTCACAACGCGGTGCATCTGCTTTGGCCAACCAAAGGGCTATCCCTATGGTGACCGTGCCAAGCAACTCTGTGGACAAACCCGAGAAATTCAACGGGTTAAACTTCAAGAGGTGGCAGCAAAAGATGCTATTTTACCTCACTACTCTCGGTCTTGCTAGATTCTTGACCGAAGATGCGCCGGTAGCAACTGGGGGTGAGGTGGATGCGCAATCTTTCAACGCGGTTCAAGCTTGGAAGCATTCTGACTTCCTTTGCCGAAACTACGTGTTGAACGGGCTGCATGATGCTTTGTACGACGTTTATAGCAAATTAGCTACGGCTAAGGAGCTATGGAATGCATTGGACCACAAATATAAAAGCGAGGATGCCGGCGCAAAGAAATTTGTTGTTGGTCGATTCCTTGATTTTAAAATGGTGGATTCGAAGACGGTCTTGAGTCAAGTTGAGGAGATGCAAATGATCTTCAACGAAATTCGAGATGAAGGAATGACGGTTAGTGAGTCATTCCAAGTGGCGTCAATTATTCACTTATTGCCGCCGGCTTGGAAGGGTTTCAAGAACTACCTTAAGCATAAGCGAAAGGAAATGAACTTGGAGCAATTGATCCTCCGTCTGCGGATTGAAGAGGATAACCGGAAGAACGATGGGAAACTCCCAATTGTTCATGGCGCCAAGGCCAACGTGGTGGAGCATGCTAAAGGCTCCAAAAATAAAAATAATGGGAAGAGCAAGCTCGGTCCCAAGGGAGGCGTTTCCAAGACAAAGTTCAACGGAAAATGCTTCAATTGCAACAAGAATGGACACAAGTCCTCGGATTGCAAGGCACCAAGGAAGAAGAAAGATTCTCACGTGAACTTGGTGCAAGGTGGGCAAAAGGATGAAGACATCATCCTTGCGGCTGTGGTGACCGAGGTTAACCTCGTTGGATCCAATTCCAAGGAGTGGTTCGTGGACACCGGTGCTACCCGGCATATTTGCTCAAACCGGGAGCTATTCACGACCTTTGAGCCATCAAATGGTGAAAAGGTGTGGATGGGAAATTCTGCTCATTCCGCGGTGGAAGGCGTGGGCAAAGTGGTCCTGAAGATGACTTCGGGCAAGGAGCTGACTCTAAACCAAGTGCTGTTCGTTCCGGAGATACGCAAAAACCTGATTTCCGGTTCGTTGTTGAACAAGCATGGCTTCCGCATGGTTTTTGAGTCGGACAAATTAGTTTTGTCTAAATCAGGAATGTATGTGGGAAAGGGGTATACATGTGATGGGTTGTTTAAGCTCAATGTAATGACTATTATTAATAATAATAATAAAATCCCTTCTGCTTACTTGCTTGAGTCTTCCAATGTGTGGCATGGTAGACTAGGACATGTTAATTTTAATTCTATACGTAGATTAATTAACATGGAGCACATTCCTAAATTCACAATTGATGTGAAGCACAAATGTGGAGTTTGTGTAGAGGCAAAACTAGCGAAAACGTCTTTCAAATCAGTTGAAAGAAAAACGGAACCACTTGAATTAATTCATAGTGACGTTTGTGATTTTAAATCAATACAAACACGTGGCGGTAATAAATATTTTATTACCTTTATCGATGATAGCACTCGCTATAGCTACGTTTATTTATTAAAAAATAAACACGAAGCAATCGATAAATTCATTCTTTATAAGAATGAAGTGGAAAACCAACTTAATCGACGGATTAAGACGGTTAGGAGTGATCGAGGTGGTGAGTATGAAGCACCAATTGGTGACTTTTGCGCTAGTGTGGGTATAGTACACGAACGTACCGCACCCTATTCACCTCAATCAAACGGTGTTGCCGAACGAAAGAATCGCACATTGAAAGATATGATGAACGCGATGCTAGTAAGTTCGGGCTTGCCACAAAATATGTGGGGCGAAGCAATCTTGACAAGCAATTACCTTTTAAATAAGGTTCCCCGGAAAAAATATGATAAAACTCCGTACGAGTTGTGGAAAGGCAGACGGCCTTCCTATCAATATTTAAGAGTGTGGGGGTGTCTTGCTAAGGTGCTTGTACCAACACCTAAGAAAATAAAAATAGGTCCAAAAACGGTGGATTGTATTTTTATTGGGTATGCACAAAATAGTAGTGCTTATCGGTTTTTAGTGTACAATTCGAATAATCCGGATGTACATAAAAACACAATAATTGAATCAAGGAATGCTTCATTCTTTGAAGATGTATTTCCATGCAAGTCCAACGAAGGGCCTAGCATGTCAAAACGAACATTTGACGTAGCTATGGAAAATACTAGGGAGGGATCCGGAGAAGAACCCGAACCCAGACGTAGCAAACGTGCTAGAGTCGAAAAATCCTTCGGACCGGATTTTCTCACCTACCTGGTAGAATTTGAATCGGATATTCTAACATGTATGGTAGAAAATGAACCGGATTTTCTAACATGTTTGGTAGAAAATGAGCCACGGACTTATACGGAAGCCGTGACGTCTACTGAAGGTCCTATGTGGAAAGAAGCCATCAAAAGTGAGGTGGATTCTATCCTTAAAAATCACACATGGGAATTGGTTGATCTTCCTCCGGGAAATAAACCTTTGGGATCCAAGTGGATTTTTAAATGGAAAATGAAACCGGACGGTTCCATCGATAAGTACAAGGCCAGACTTGTAATCAAAGGATACAAGCAACGTGAGGGCCATGATTACTTTGACACATATTCTCCTGTGACGAGAATAAATTCCATTAGGATGATACTAGCAATTGCCGCATTGCGGAAATTGGAAGTTCATCAAATGGACGTAAAAACCTCTTTTCTAAATGGCGATATAGACGAAGAAATCTATATGGAACAGCCCGAGGGCTTTCGTGTTCCAGGCCAAGAAAGGAAAGTGTGTAAATTAATTAAATCATTGTATGGATTGAAACAAGCCCCTAAACAGTGGCACGAAAAGTTCGATCATGCAATGTTAATTAATGGGTTTAAAATAAACGAAAGTGACAAATGCGTCTATGTGAAGAGCACGGTAGACGGCTATGTCATTTTATGTTTATACGTGGATGATATACTCATCGTGGGTAGCAATAATCTAATGATTAATTCTACCAAAAGCATGTTAAATTCTAAATTTGACATGAAGGATATGGGGCTGGCCGATTTAATCCTTGGGATTAAAATAATTAGAGGACCTGACGGTCTAACGCTAAGCCAATCCCATTACGTTGATAAAATCCTTACTAAATTTAATAAGGATGATTATCAAGAGGCAAGGACGCCTTTAGATAAAAACACTCATCTTACCAAAAATCGTGGAGAGTGTATTTCTCAAGTAGAATACGCTAGGATTATTGGAAGTTTGATGTATCTAATGAGTTGTACCAGGCCTGATATTGCCTTTGTGGTTAGTAAGCTAAGTAGATATACTAGCAACCCCGGTGATGAACACTGGAAGGCAATAATACGGGTTTTGAGGTATTTACGTAAAACCCAAAACCTTGGACTGCACTATGGAAGATATCCAGCTGTACTTGAAGGGTATAGCGACGCTAGTTGGATATCCGACATAAAGGACTCTAAGTCCACAAGTGGATATGTTTTCACTTTGGGAGGTGCAGCCGTGTCGTGGAAATCCTCGAAACAAACGTTAATAGCTAGATCCACGATGGAATCTGAGCTAATAGCCTTGGATAAGTGCACTGAAGAGGCTGAATGGCTACGCCATTTTCTCGAGGATATTCCAAGTTGGGAGAAGCCTGTCCCTCCAATATGCATACATTGCGATTGTCAAGCGACAATTGGAATGGCACAGAGCAATCTCTACAATGGTAAGTCTAGACACGTTCGTCGTAGGCATAACACCATTAAACAACTCCTCACAACGGGTGTTATCACTGTTGACTACGTGAAGTCAAAGGATAACATAGCGGATCCGCTAACCAAGGCATTGGATAGAGAATTGTTGGAGAAGTTGTCACGAGGAATGGGACTAAAGCCCGTGAATTGAAAAGTTCTATAGTGGATACCCAACCTAGTTGGTCCTAGGTTCAAAAGGGACAACTAAATTATAGAGCGAAGGATGGTCACTGTGGGGGTCCCGGACTCCTAACCACTCCTCGTTAAAAACAGTGACTCCCGCACGAGGTTAGCAAAAACGTTTGCTTTAATGATTCTAAAATGTTGATCTACTCGATAACATTGGAAGAGTATGCGGGATACTCGTGAAAGAATCACCTATGTGAGAGAGAAGAGGGCCGCTTCGAAGGAGAACTGTAAAGGCTCAGTTCTTTAGAAACTCTTGCAGAACCAGGACGGTGACCCATGGCCAAAACGGGCACACCCATGAGAACGAAACAAAGTTGGAAGGTTCTTGTGTAAAGATAAGTCAATGTTTACACGACGGCAGTATAGTTCAAGGACATCGAGTCTACTAGACAGCCAGTAAATAAACGTGTCTTTACAACGGAAGGTTCAAAGGATAAAACCTACCTCTCCGTATGCAAGGATCATCCGGTGAACACAACGTGTCCTCCTATCTTCGTGTCTTTTTAAGTCTCGAAAATCAATTTTCATTCATGTGGGGGATTGTTGGAAAAATGTGTTAAAAATTGCATTAAATGGTCATTTTGGGGCAATTATTTGAGTGGGGTCCACTTCCGATTTGGGTCGGGTCAAAGTGGTTTCGGATTGTCCTTGTTAAGGGCTACAATTCGATATATGGTACGCTCAAAACGGATAACGGGTGAATGAGAAATTGATTTTCTCGAAGTTCGCTCGTTGTAATGGAAAAACTGGGAAAATGATGAGTTTCTAGTGTGTTTTATCCCACACCGAAAAACTCAAGGGATTTTCACCCCCTTTTAAAGGGAAGCCTCTTTTAAGAAGTTAAGATTCCTAAAGGGAAAGGCTCTCTCTTACGCGCAGGGGGGGGGTGCCGATCAAAAAACCCGAAATGGAGAAGAAAAACCGCGACTCGTGTGCGCGGGCGACCTGCGGACACGAATGCCGTCCAAAAATCTATTTCTCAAGAGATACGGTTAATTTTTGTTTTAATGCAGCAGTTTATGGACGATTCAATGCCCAACGGACTGGTCATTGATGTCCAACGTTCAGGTCCATTAACACTCCATTTAACTCACAACAAATCCTCCTATAAATAGCTGGCAGGTGCTTTGCAACAAACACACGGTTTGATAACGCACATCACTTCCCTCACGTTTTCTTGAGCTAAAAACTCTTCCAGCTATTCCCAAAAATTCCTTCTGTGTTCATACTTGGTTCTCGTTCGCTGGAACTCTTGTTTGTGTGCTCAAACATTAGTTCGTAGTCATCGTATCCTGGGAAACGATTGTTGCAACGCTCCTAGCACCGTGGGAGGCAACAAATACGTTTTAAGGAAATCGTGCGTAGCACGAGCTTTGACTAATTCTGCTTCATCTCCTTTCCTGTTTTTCTTTAGTCATTTTATTTAATTAATTTATTTTAATTAATTTTCTTTATTTTCCGAAACACACCCAACATTAAATACAAATGGTAAAGTTTTGGGACGGTGAAAAATGAAAGTTGACAAAGCTCCTTAATTTGTTTGGCTTCGTTTGATATGATTTGGTTTGGCTTCGTTTGGTGTACTTAAATTTGATTTTATCTTTTCTGATTTGTTAAATTTGTTTTAGTCTATGTATGAGCGGTAGCAGTTCCGTAATGTTTTCTACATCTTCACTAGACGAAATACTCGTATGATGCACGAGAACATCTAGAATACAATAATAATTTATTCAAATTTTATTTTGTTTTGTTGGTACATAATGTGCAATCCCTTATGTAGAAAGGGATAGTACAAATTTTACTT